AGTGAAATGTTGAACATGTTGTATATCGTCAGAGCCGGGAGCCAGACTCTCAGAGCAAAGTGTGTGAGTTACTGAAGTATCAAGGTGAGGAGAAGCTGCTGTCGGAGCTCCAGAGATGGTCCGTCCCTCGCTTCCCCATCAGCGGCCATGATCTCAGGAAGATGGGCATCACCTCAGGAAAGGAGATCGGTGCCACTCTGCAGAACCTCCGTGACATCTGGAAGAAGAGTCGGTACCAAATGGACAAAGATGAACTGCTGAGTCACGTGAAGCCATAAAAATTGGCCAAATTAAACAATCTTTTTTTTTTTTTTTTTATGTTAATTTAAGCTGCTTTGTTCAAATTTTATTTAATTCTCTTCAATGTGTATGAAGGGAAACTGATTAAAAGATATTATAAGGAAAGTGTTTGTGTTGCATTCTGATTGCATTAAAGGGTAGGTAGCGAGTTGTCTTACCTCTCAGGTTGGTACCATATCTGCCTCAATGGTAGCTACTTAAACTCAATCGCCAGTGGATGGGAGACGCCCACGGACGTGGACTTTGTCAGTCGCTGTACCTGCTTATAACCCATTTACCCTACCCTCTGAAACCGATGCGTGGTGAATTCGGACCGAGCTTGGATCAGTTAACTGTGCTGAGCTTGTATGCTGGTGAAGATTCTCAGTCATCCAGGTCATAGTTATTTAAAAAAAAAAAAAAAAAGTTAAAAACAATCCACTGGTCTTTGTTTCCAAGTTTGAAGACTTATCACTTCCCTTCCAGGAAGCTTTTTCAATTTAAATTTCAGGAAAAGCGTTTGGTTTGATCTTTTATACAGTAGCACATCAAAACCTTGTTTTTGTTTTGAAAACGTACAAATTGATGAAGGGGTCCACCCCAAAGGGGCATATGAGTATTTACACATCACACTAGCAGGATTCCTTGCATCCTGTCTGCGGTCCATGATACTACAGCCCTGAAGGCAGGAATTACACAAACAAAAAAGGTGGTGCCCATAATATTCAGTAACTTATGTGCCTGGATAGCGTCATCCACCCAAATTTAAATAAGAGCCTCTCTCTCAGCATCATCCCAAGTCGCACCATGCTCTTTTGATGCCATTTATTGTGAACAGGATGAGAAGAAGTCCACTGCTCAATTCAAAAGTGTAGAATCAATCATGGTTTCAAGATATTGGATTTGATCATAATGAGTTCAGGTGTACAGGCATTTCCTCTAAAATCAATGGACCTGTCTTATGTGTTTGATGCATTGAGCTGTAGGAGTCCTCACATCACCTGGCAAAGTCATCACTTACAGGACTGTGGCCGTTTTCTGTTCCATAAAGCAGGCTCCCAATAACACAATCATCATTTTTGCAGTACTTTGCAGGGATTTTTTTTGCATTGCCCAACATATTTTTTTTATTTTCCATGTCCTCATCCCCACTGACACTGTACAATATATGCTATAAGATATGCTTCTTCCCACTCAGGTCTGTATTTTTATATGAGGATGCAATGGAGAATAGGATACAACAGGAGTGACAGAGCAGTGGAGGTGAGAGGAATCTGTCTCTAGGCAACCATGACAGCAGCTGATGCAAAGCTAATGAGGTTCTGCTTAGAAACTGCCAGGACAATTTATCTGTCTTTAGTAGATCATATGATTTATTTTAATTTTAGTCAGATTTAGTATTGATGTGGAATTTCTTTTATTTTGCATAAGTAAAACTTTTTTCTAAATGGTGGGCAATGGCAACTCAAGAAACTGCTGACAGCAGGGACACACAGTGACACTCACTGCCCTACAAGGTAACAGTAATTCTACTGTACTAGCTAGGATGACACAGCGTGCAAACAAAGATCAGCATGAAGATGGTGAAGGACAGGCACACCAATGATAAGTGATTGGAGTAGAAAACGAAAAGAGAAATAAGGACTTTAATAAGAGCTTAATTTTTATTTTGAACATAATAAATCTTCACCTAAGACGGGTGGTATAAATGTCCAAATCTACTTCTGACTCACTTAAATACAGAACAATCATGCATAGTCACTGATTAAAGTAATGAGGTGTTATGAATAGTGTTTCTTTGCCGCACCTTCATTGTCCTCTCTTTAGATGTTGGTCTCTCTGTCTTCCATTTGTTGCCAGCTAAATAGAGTTGATTGTGTTGACATTCTGTGGTTGACTAGAGATATTTCCTCTTCTTTTCTCTGGATGTGCAAAGTGCTAGAGGCATAAACCCCACGAACCCTGTAGCTGTACTTAAAATGAATGGTGGGAACACATTTAAATTTTTTTTTATAATTTTTTAAAAGTTAAAAAAGAAAAGCCTCTTTCAAGTTACTTTCTCTTCAAAATAATTATGTATTTTTTTCATACATTTTACAAGTAAAAAAAAGATAAACACACACAATACACACATGTTGAGTTGGCTGGAAAATTAATAAGAATATATTTTGCACAAGTCACCTCAATAACAATGGAAAATACACAAAATATATTGAATAATCTCACTAAACTCCGATCCAGACCATAATAAACCCTGGGCAGAGGAAAAGCATTGGCCTATGCAAGGTTATCGGTAGTGCTGACCTCTACAGTATATAAAGGCTATACTTAAATAGGGTTTGGGTTAGATTTAATTTGTCTTTTTTCCTAAACCTTCTTTTAAATTAATAAAACAAAAACCTAATCAATTTTTATCAAGATTAAATTATAGGAAATACTTATACTGTGATGCATTTTTCTGCCAAATTGCCCAGCTGTTATGTTTAGTGAGGATTTTAAGGACACTTGAGTCTGTTACGCTGAAAATGTTAAGGGTAATAAGGATAAAAGTAAAATACTTTCCAAATAAATGGTGAACATTGGATTAAACCCATCCTGTTGAAAAGTTAGTGACACTTGGCTAAAACATGTTTACAGCTCACCCCTCCTTGTTACCAAAGCTAGATACTAATGAAATTCCACTCCTCAGCAATGTGTATCACTTTCATTTCTGTTTCAATAGATTAACTGATTATTACTTGAGAAGCAAAACAAACAAACTTTAGAGTTCTGCAGAAGAGATTACCAGCAGGAATGTTGCATAGCCAGATGGTTTTGATGAATGACACCTGGCAGTTTTTTCCAGAACATGTTGGTCATGACTGCTACTTACTTCTGTTTCTATAAACATGTATGCAGAATCATTCCTCCTTTAGTAAAGCAGATGGTACGCTAGAGGAAAAAAACTCTAAAAGGCTTAAATACACGGCTATTAAATAATATTGGTAGATGTCAGCATTTGCTTCTCGCCTTTAACTCTAGTTTAGGGGAATCCAAACAAACAGTATTTAGCAAAATATGTGAATGAACTTGGGCCCATAGATGCTTAAATAATTCAATTCTGTTTATATAGATAGCGCCAGTCCACAACATGTCATCTCAAGGCACTTTACAGTTCACTAGATCATCCAGTCAAATTGATTCAGTTTTCTATATAAGGAAAACCAGTTGAGTGCATCGACTCATTGACTCCAGTGCAATCCCTCACACTAAATATGCTTGTAGCGACAGTGGAGAGGAAGAGCTCCCTTTTAACAGGAAGAAACCTCTAGCAGAACTAGGCTCAGTGTGAGCGGCCATCTGCTGAGGCTAACTGGGGTTCAAGGAGACATAAGCAGAGATACAAAAAGCAACTGTAAAAGGCGGCTCCGTCCAGGAAACACACAGCCAGGCAGACGAGTACCGAACCAGCTCCCATGTCAGAGGATTAGGGGAGCACATCCAGCTAGCCATAGTCAGAGAAACAGGACTACACTGGGAAAGAACTGGCCGATCTCCAACATCTATAAACAAGGGTGTTGATGGCAGCAGCACAGCTGATATTTCTGATACTTATACTTTGACTCACTGAAATGACCATCTGAGTGAATGGAGGATCTTTGTCATCAGGCCGATTAAGTCAAACATAAGTTAATCTGTTGTTTAGAAGCATATTTCAGGTTTTTTGAAAAGTGGTGCTGTTTAAAGCCATAAGAACTCAATATCTTACATGCAATAGAAAAATAATTTAATTCATTAAGATATCTAGAGGAACGCTACAATTTAGCTTCATGTCCTGTTGTAAATAGTGACCTCCTTCTGTACAAATAATGCTAGCATAGTGACACAATGGAGACTCTTAAAAGAGGTTTGTGTAATCCCTTGTCTACATTAAGCTGGACCAACTATTCTGGTGTTATACTAAATGCAGCAATACAGAGAGCCATTAACTGCACGCACAATATGAACTACTTATCATATTCAAAGCCTTACTTTAAAAAGAAAGAATGTTAAGACTACACTAGAAAAATAGCCAGTTTTACCTAAGTTTTTTTTTTTTTTTATCAGACTGATCTGAGGCTTTCCTCATACTGTTATCTTAACGAACTTGTCCCATTAACCTCTTTATGCAGCAGGTTTGAAGATCAGTAATCTAGAAAGTACATCACAGTACTTGCCGACCAAAAGTATCTTTTCAATCAAAATTAGAAATAACGACCGTAGGTTCAACAACAATAAAGGTCAGATGATGATGTTTAAAATGAAAGCTCAATGACAGAAAATAGTCGTCCTGAGCAGCCTATCTGATCTTCAGTTTATTTCTTTTTCTTGAAATGGATTCCAGCAAAAAACTCAGTGGGAGTAATGTGAGAGCAGGGAGTGGTGGAATAAAACTTGGGAGTAATCAGTAGCCGGACAGTTGCTGATACAGCTTCATTTCTTCCACTGCCATTTATGACATTTGGTTTCATTTCGCTTTCCGGCTGCAGGCAGCCGTCTTGCTGAGCTGATGTTCTCAGAGATGATGGGCAGCATCATTGAAGCCTATAACGCAGCGTGTGTGCTGCCTCACATTCTGCAAGTACCTTGATCTTTGTCCTCAACTGATCTAATCTAAACAGCAGCTGATTTTAAGCTTACTGAATCAAATGGAACGTTAGTTCGAAGCTGTGCGACAGCTGAACTGAATGCAATCAGGGCTCCAGGAATGAAGTAAACCGATGTTTTAGTTGAGGTCTATAGTCCAGCTTTTAGCTCATTTAAAAGTTTGTTGCAACATAAAATAAAATCTGAATATGATGACGTTTGGAAATGAGTTCAGTGCAGCATGATGATGGGATGGAGAATGCAATTTTCCACTAAATTCGAACCCTTTATCCCTGTTAGATTAATCTGATCGGATCCTGGAAGTCTTTAATGCAGACCTTTGTATACAGACACAGTGACACAGGTGCAGTTTATCCAATTTAAATAAAATTAAATATAATTAAAAATCTAAATTTTTATTTAGTTAAAGTAAAACTCATAAAATGATATGCATTTATTGTACAATTT